TGCTAGGAGTTTAGAGTTATATAGGCGAGCATCTTTAGGGGTTGTCGAGGGGTATGCTAGGAGTTCAGACTGAGGCTCATTTCAAGAAAGCTGCATAGCTCAAGGGCTGCAATGTTGTTGAACCACCCCCTTAGCCTCTGCCAAAAGTTGGCTTCAGAAGAAAAACAAACATAGGGTTCCTGAAACTAATCTAGGAAGTCCGAGTCAGAGCCCATGTTCTTGGGGCAGGAATGTAGAAGATCGCCAAACTATCCAGGTATGCTGGCCGCGGATCGGCTACACACTGGGGACAACCAACAGATAGAGGACATGAAGGCCAGATGGGCGAAAACGCGGGCAGCCATGCGCATCCACAAAGAGACCAAGCTCTTCGATCTTCCGCAGATGGTGGAGTGGAAGGACTTCGACCGAAAGGATCCCAACGAAAGTGTGTATGTCATCTTTGAGATGCCCTCCCGAGATCAGATGGAACTTCTGGAGCAGTCCAACGATCCAGTGTCGACGGTGATGTACTGGATCATTTGGGACCTCGCCGATGTGATGAAGCACTTCGACATTGCTCCCCCCATTCAGTCCCGGATGTATCAGGAACTCTCGAATGGCATGCTGGGCTACAACAACTGTCTCAAGATTGCAGACGTACCTTTCCCTTTACCGTTTGCACAGTTATTGGGGCTGCTGCTGGCCTCCTTCTCAGTTCTCATTCCCATTTATGTTGTGGTGTTCACAGGCTCCCCTATTGCAGGGCCCATTCTCTGCTTTTTCCTTTATGCCAGTCTGTGGTGTCTCAACGAAGTGGCCAAAGAGCTGGAAAATCCCTTTGGCGAGGATGTAAACGACATTAGCCTTGTGGATTTCCACACCAACTTCGTGGATGTTCTGGAAGATGTGACGAAGGAGAAGCAGAAAGCTCTGCTCATCAACCCGACGATGGGCCTAGGAAGCTTGGAGCCAGACATCGGGGAGAACGCTGCGACATCAAGCGATCTCACTACGAGTCACGGCCACGTCGAAGTGTTGCAGGAAGCTTTGTGATGGCTCTGCAATTGCAGAAACCTTTCCAAAGAAGCTGGCTTTCGTGCAAACATGTCTAGTTTCGTTTCACCCGTGGGGTTGCTGCCGGCTTCTTCAAGCCCCCTGCCCTATGGCACATGCGATTTAGCTGGCAGAATCTGTTCTCAGCACTCTAGTTTTCTGTTGCTCCTCGAGCAATCATCAAACACCCAAGTGGTTGCAGCCAAAATCTTGCGAGCGATGCTGTTTTGGGTTGCTTTTAAGGAACGTAGATGAAGTTACCGTACTATGGATATTGTATCAATGGTACATGATACAGTAAGCTCATAGTTGTACTCTCATGAGTTCCTTCACAGCTACCCGTTGCTGTTGTGGGCAGCGGTTGATGCATGGCTGTGCCGACCTTTCCTCAGTCACATGGAAGGTTGTGCCTTTCGGAGTAGCCTGTGATTATGTAGCGCCTATAATTTAGGGCACCCGAAAGTCAGCCATACTTCTGACAAACTTCCATATACATTTCTTGAAGTCGCAAACCCTGTATATATATATATGTATATGATATGTATATACACATATATGTGTGCATCCTCAGCTGCCCGTATATGACATTGATATGTCTCCATTACACCAACTCTTTCAAGCGATCGTACATCCCAGGTCAGCTGGTGCAGCTCCACAGGCCCGTCTGAGCTGAGAGAAGTCTTCGGTACTGTCACCTCCTTGACCAATCCTGTGTGACCCCATCAGCATCGGGTTCTATAGTTGCATAGAGAGGTTATATGAAGAGGGGTATTTAAGGAAATGAAGTTTTTAAGCGTTTCCAGAAATTAGGTTTTGCCCATACGTGTTTTCAGCTTGGGTTTAGTGATCTTGAGTGATCTTGCTGTTGAAGTGTCACCAGGTACTGAGTATTCATGGGATGCACTGGGAGTGCTGCAAACAGCTATGCAAAGCGTCATCACGTCCACGTTGTCTTGAACCTCCCACAACCCCTGAATGCTACATGTCCCTCAAATAGGGGATTAAGAATTAGGGTTTCCTAAGCTGAAGGGTACCTTTTTGGGGTTCCCTGTCAACAAAAACCTGGCCACTTGTGTTTCCCCCACGTGCCCTTGCAATCCTTCTTCTACCTCATCCCCCACGTGCCCTTGTAATCCTTCTTCTACCTCATCCCTGTGATCTTTCGATCTCACTGTCCTCAATATCCTTTTTTTGCCCAAAGTACCCAGTATCCTTATACAATCCCTATATCTCCCCTATAGCCCCAAATTTTGGGGAGGCCCGCACTTAGAGAAGGCCCCATCTTGTGCGCAGCTTGCGGCTCCATCATTCCTTTTGCCAAGCTCTGGGGCCTGCCCGAGATGGCCGGTGCACAGACCTCCGAGGCTCCATCTGAGTCACTGTCAGTACTGGGGTTACCAAGCGACCATTAAGGCTGGACATCGGGGTCCCTTGGCTAGATTAATGCAGCCCCGAATGAAGATGCCCCCGAATACCGACCCATCTCCATTAGCTATATGGGAAATACTGACGGTCGCCCTTTTAGGGTCTAGAGTCTTTGCTTTAGGATTTGGAGTTGAGTGCGCATGGTCAGGCTTTAACGTTATGGACTTCAATCATCAACTCCCCTTGGCAAATTTCAGCGACCTCACCAGACGTCAACCCCCGTGGTGGTTTATACATTCATTTCAGGTTCTGAACTTGTGGTAACAAAGTCAGTAACAACAGCGCCCCCCAACCCCACATAATTAATATTCTCCCGTATAGTACCACCCTAAACCCTATACCAGCATATTCATATTAATTTTAGGAGGCTGTGGTTCATTGTCAGCGAAGGGTATTGTTACATTTGTTGAAGAGGGCCTCGAGGGGCAGCAACGATTCAGAGTAATACTGCTAAGTTACTACTACGACGACTACTACCACCAGTAGGAAAAATCATTCCATCACTTGGGCTAGGCCCCCACGCACTAATAGTGGGCCCTAATCTAATTGCCATTACCTCTTGTGATCACTATTAGTGGGGTGACGCCCGACCTAAACTCTCACTATTACTTTAATTATCTTTGTGAGTGAGAGCAGCAGCTCAAGCCTTGGGAAAGGCGCTGTAACATGCTGTAACTTTGGGTCTCCAGCACACTTGGCCTTTTTTTGAAAGTTCACTGTCCCCTGAAGAAGGACACATATGTGAGAGCTAGGCAGCTAGGCAGATGAGAAAAACATGCTTGAAGTCTGGAGCAGGTCGACGCAGTCTTGAAGCAGTTCCTGAACGACTTCCCCAGTGTGATCGGCGCCTTGGTGCTAAGCCGGTGCGATCGAGTTCGGGCACTGTACATGTAGCAGTATCCTGCATGCCATTTATCCGTGTAAGCTTTTGAGTCAGAGTCATAGTACAACATGCAAAGAAATCCTACTAGTACCGAAGTAGAATATCGCTTGTCACTACCATTCCAAGCCTCGCTTTGCTTTTAGGCTTCGTTGTGATCAATACGGATGGCATCCCGACCAAGTGGCACGAGAGCATGCCCTACGAAAGGCGCCTGCCAAAATCGATTTACGTCACCCCTTCAGACCTGATGGCGTACATGCATGATCCAAGCAGTTTGCGAAACACGCGTAATCTCAACTTAGGAGCCGAAATAAGTTCACTGTCATGGTCCGAAATTTCTTGTGTGATTCTGGTATATGGTGCCTCAAACAGACCTCAACATGATATTATGATGTTGGTGTTTTTTTACGCTTCTACGGTAGATGGGTATCCCGGACGGCCTTATGGATTTATGTTGTGGCTTCTAGCTTCGACTATACCCAGTGGCCCCCCATGTAGTTCCTATGGGGTCGGTTACGGTTTTTGCCAGGCATTATAGTATATCTCCCCCCAAAAGGAGCTACCTAGGAGCATTGGGGTATTGTTGATGTTGGAAATCCTGCATGAGTGAGTCAGGGCCCAATCCCTGGCTAGGTAGGAAACACAAGTTTATATCAGGCTGTAATTATATCCCCTATGGTTATCCTTACAGACAACATTATTGTTTCGAAGTCTGCCTATCTAGATGCCTGAGACCTCTAGGAGTTAGCGCTGTGTGTGTGTGTGTTGGAATGACAGGTCATGCAGATTTTTCTGACAGTAGCTCATCTAAGCTTGCAGCTGACAGGGCTGTGATTTACGCGGCGCTCATGTCCGCCAAGCTCTCAGATACATCTGTTTTTGTGTAGGGGGGCTGAGCTTTCTGAAAGGCAGCATCCCTTGCACGCCTTGTACCAGTCAAACCTTAATGACGGTATACCTGAGGTGGACCCCCAAGGTATACCTGTACGACACGAAACAATTCAGGGACTTCAAAGTTGCACGGGAGGTTCATAAACATCAGTCACCGCGTTTTTCCGCGTGGGGTCATGGCATAGTCGCTCAAACATGTGCTCATCAAACCTTACGCGCGAGGTCCTCTGGATGAACCCTCCAACTTGCGCACCAAGGATTTCGTGGCTCACTGCAAGAAAAGTCTGCGGGAACTCCTCAGTGGTCCTGCGGAGTCGGAGCTTGCGAACGTGCCTTGCTGTTGAAATGCGAGGATGCCGTGAAGGGTTTGCAGTGGGATAGAGCTGCGATGACGCAAGGAAAGGGGAAAGGTCTGCCAAAGTGGATATATTCGGGTTATATAGGGATAATGGAAAAGAACATGGAAAGCGCTACATGATAATAGGGCATCGGTATCTTGATTGGGGTTTCTTAGACATGGACATGAGTAAAGTCTTCAATTCTTGAATGTCCGCGCATCCTCTGACTGTAAGTTAGAGATGGACAATAATCAAACCTCGTTGCCCAACTATCCCCAGATCATGTAGTGAAAAATTTGGGGGTGTTTTATTGTTAAGGTTGGTTGCGGGGATGCGTTCTGAGGGTAAGTCCCTGGATCGACTGCAGGACTTACTGGGCTTTCCTCAATAGGGGTTTTTTGGTAACCGCAACCTCGAATAGAAGATCCTATAGGAGCGGTATGCTAGTCATGGGATGGGGTTTAGGGTAACCCAAAGCCTTTTGTTATTCTAAATAAGGCAGAAAACACGCTCCTCAAAAATCGTCGGTCTCCTTCAAGCCCAAACTTCTCATGTGCTTTGTGCTCAAGACTCAAAGCTAGGGGCCATAGTAACGGCATATGGCTGGTGCAATTTGAGAATTCCTGGGAACTGTTTTGCATAGCCCCTTCATTGTCCACACATGTTTCCAGTGCCCTTAATGATCCCAATTCTTAGGGGGAAGCCTCATTTTGCCTAGCAGCTGCGCCTAATGCAAGTTGAGTAGTAGTGATATGGAGATATTAAAGTTCCCACTGTAAGGCTGTGGCAGTGTTTTCTGTTGGTGGTGGTACTTGGTAAGAGGAGCACAAGCTGATATACTTGGTTCAACCATGTTCAACCACCGGAACAAATGGCTCAGGTGAGGATTCGAACTAGGGAGGGCACAGAGCTCATCTGCGTCACCCAGACCGAGTACATCTTCGTAGTGATCCAGAACTGCTCCGCGGCTGTGGAATCACCTGACTTGGTGTAGTATCAAATTAAGAGTAGATTGATGCCTGGGCAAGATGGCATCTTGACCTTGACTAGAAATCTTCTCGTGAAATCCGCCCCAGCGGCTTAGAGTAAGGGCAAGGTCCAGCTGTCAAACAGCTTTAAAGGCCACAGGTTCGATGGTTGCTTCAAACATTGCTTCGAACGGTGCCCGTAGCATTCACATGATTATCACCACCACTGCCACCGCTACAAGTACTCCTGCTGTTGCCACCTCTACTACTGCATTTTCTGCAGCTTTGTCTAGCAGAGCTCAGGCACCGGCAAGGCTTGGCAGCAGGACTGTCCTGCGCACTCCGCCAGGGCTAGTGACTAGTGCAGCCAATGTGCCATTATCCTGAATGTCTCAATATTGGCATTGATGAATGCAGACTTTGGGGATTGGTCGAGGACGAAGAAGGCACCACCGCTGGCGCTGGCGAAGGCAGCAGAGTAAGCACGGTTTTGTGTCTTTGGTCGTGGGCACAGAGGGCCCCTCATACCTCAAATGGCGGCACGTGTACAAAATCACCCCGATTTCACTTTGAAAGTCGCTGCAGTAGCCCTGCGCAGACCCTGCGCGCTCTAGTCTTCGTCAAGTTTTGTGACGGATGCACTCTCTCGGAATAATTTTTAGGGCCGGGATTTGGGAAGGATACGTAGGCAGCTCTGCGCGATTGTGAAGTCGTAGAATGAGAGGTTGCAGGGTTGGAGTTGCCGAGTGACTGTACAAAACCCTCATGGCCAACTAGGTGGTGCATGATGGCAGCCGCTGGGACGAGGATGGCAGCCGCTTGATGGAAATTCAGTTCATGGGAAAAGTCTATAGTCGATAGTAACTTGTAGACTTTGCAGAGTCCATAAGAGGAATGGAAGCAACATAGCATCGGTTCGTTTCAGGGTGATGCTGCGTCCGGCTTACTGCAGAGCCTCGGTGAAAAAAGAGAGGGTGAAGCTGCCTTGTCATAGTGCCGAGCACAAGGGTCTCCGTGACATGCTTCCACCCAAGCACGAGTTTAAACAAGGATAGCTCCCCCTCCTAGTAGACCACAGTTGGACTATGAGTCCGGGGGATTCAGCATAAGGGGGTGGGGGTGACATTCAGCCCCCTCAGCCAGCTTTTTTCCGTGCATGTTCTTCTTATTGACTATGCGAGACTTTTTGCCACTACCACCTCTGTGATGGTCACAGTCGTCATGATGGTAAGAACTACTCGTAAGGAGTTGTTGATGTTGTCTCATTCTTTTCGATCCGCAATTGGGTATTGAGGTCTGTGCTGCAGGCACCTGCCACGCTGACCGGCGTGAGGTAGAGAAAAAAACGTCTATGAAGCCAGGCGGAGTCTTCCAACTGTCAGCCCAGTGGTCAGAAGTTGCAGCAGGAAAGAGGTCGAATTCGGAGACGTCATAATTTCAAGGCCCCGTGTCTTTTTCAAAGCGCCCTCCTGGCACAGAAAGCTCTGCTTTTGGTATCTACTTGATCCATATGTGGGGTTGTTCGGTGCAGGGATAGTTCGTTAATGTCCGCGCTGTTGCCGTCTTCAGCTCCAGCCTATTGTGATTAGCATTTCTTGGCCAGACAATTGCAAGTAGTGGGTTTCCGTGAAGCAGGAATGACTGCAGGGTTTACATCGATGAGCCTGGCAGTTTCACCTGTTTGCCTCATTGGGTCCCTCAAAAGTTTCACGAAGCCTCAGGCTTCTTGCATGGTCGCCAATGAGCTGCATAGGGCATCTGTCTAGCAGGATGCAGAGAAGGTGCAGTGCACAAAAGCCACGTTGTTGCCCTTCCATTCTATCTGACAGCATGTTTAAGAGTGACGATTTGTGAGTCGCAGTTCCACTCCTAGCAGAACTGTTCGTAGGCTGACCTTGCCGAAAAGCTGCCCCCGAAGGCGCCCCTGACAGACAAATCTCGATGATTGGTCTAGGGCATGATTTCCCTCACGCGCACAGAGGCATGAGGAACCCTAAGCTTTGCCTGCTGCGACAGGCAAATCACACAAACCAAATGGCGCTCTGACCTGAGATGGTTTTCTTGCCTGGTGCTTCTGCGTGACACATCATCCATGTACCTGCAAGCAGCTGCACTGACCTGGCTGTTTCGAAGCATGGGCCAAGGCCTCTGGCATTGTCACAGGCTGGCATCTCAGAGCCACTCCCAGATTCAAATCTGAACTTGAACAGTTTTTGCTGTGAGAACAAGCATATAACCCAAGGGCCTAGTGCTTGTAACGCGTGTAGGCTTGCTTGCAATACATAATGTCCTGCTTCTCAGCTCCGCCATGAGGTTGCTAGTGCCTTGCCTTCCACTTCTTCGTTGGTGGAGGAGCAAATCTTTTTACTTTCAGCCTGGCAGTCTAGAATAGGGCCCATATCAAGCGGATCCTAAGGCTAAGGACGCAGACAGTTTGATGGGCCGTGACACTGGCGCGTGAGCTTGTGATCAGATTTTGTCCAGGATAGGTAGAATCAGGTAGAAAACCCTACGTAGTCCGCAAGAGTGGCCGCCGAAAGTTCTTCAGACCATGACCAGACTTCTGGTTCCTTGCTTCATGCTCCAGCTTGGCGAGTGTTGGAAGGGAGCGACTTCCAGGCTGTACAAAGGTGTGCGGGAATCATCCCATGGACCCTGCACCAGTCTATTTATGCAACCCCAGTGGTCGAAAACGATCGCATCTCAAGCCAGAGGGAAGCGTCCACCAGGTGAATATGGGTACCGCATCTGGTACTGGCATTAGGCGTGATAATTTTGACAGTGGTGGCTTGAGCCCAAACTTGCGAGCCAAACAAATTTTGAGCTGTTTCTAGGACTCAGCGAATAATACAATCCACCTATCTGGGGAGAAGCCGAAGTCAAAATATCCTACACGGTTTAGGGTATAGTCTCTTATATAGTCCATATTGTAGATAACATTGATTTCATCATGCTGCAGCACTCCCCACAAAATCCTTGAAGAGAGGCCTTGTTGAAGCACAGGGTCATTTTTTGGGACACCCGAATGGGTTTTAAGCCTGAAGCTCTGACACCCCATACTTGGAGGGTCAGGGAGACTTAGTAAGTAGGCTAATAATGGGGACAATTAGGGTTACTATGTGGGTTATAGGGGTTATTAACGTCCTTACTAAGTCCCTTTGACCCTCCAAGTAGGCGCTAATGTTTGGGGTTTAATGCTTGGGATAATGGAAAATTAAGTGGAGAATGACATGGAAACCGGGTTTTACATGTTGGATGATATATCATGGTCCTACACTCCCTGTAAATATGTATTAGAAGGTACCTCAAAACAACTCAAGACGAGGGTGGTGGTTTATTCAGGCCCCTACCCGTTGGAGATAAAACCCCGATTTGGCTATCTCAGAATTATTGACCCTTGTGGGTATAGATTTGAGTATAGCGCCTTGTGTTTCGGGGTGCCAAAACGGGACCTTAACTTTGGGAATTTACTCTGAACCCTAAACCCTAAATAGTAGCTTCCATTTTCTTTTCCATTATCCCTATAAAGAACTCCTATAGACCCTACTTTTTGCGAACTATCAATGGGACCTTAATTTTGGGAACTTCTCATATTATATGGAGGAGCCATCCTCGAACCAGGCCTGGGGTGTGGTGGGAAGCACAGGGGGGACCCTACAATGGCAATGTATAGGGATTTTGCGTAGTTTGAAGGATTAGATTGAAGGCAGACTATATACTAACAGAATGGTGGGCGTACGTGTGAGGAATTCTCAAGGGCTCGCTGCAGCAAATGCTAGGAGTTTCTAAACGTTGTATGCGTAGAATCCTGAAACAGGGACCTGCCATAACTCCTTATTAATGATCCATGTATACCGACATGACATATGTTCCCTGACGGCCGCGGAAGAATCGTTTTGAGAAAACCCCAAACCATAAATCGCAGTTTTGCGAAGTTGCCTGTGACATTCCCAGGCTTTGATTCATGCAAAGGACAAATGATTACGTGTCTGTCGCTGCTGTTTGTATAGGTGCCCAATGTCGCGTTGCTATCCTTGTGTGACTGTCAGTTTGTACAGGGCAGATCTTGCGAACACCATCAAGTCACAATGACCTCATATGCAGCTTCTTGCATTGCGCCTGTGGCTCTCAGCCATATTTGGTCTGATACTGATTTTAGATGTTTTTGGTTTAGCTTGAGGTAGTCAGACGAACCCTGCTCTCTGCTTGCAGGCAGCAAGGGTGCCTGGTGGCGCTCAAGAGTGCAAGCCTCAGTTGACATCTTTTGACATCTCCGGCATGTCATGCAAGCAGCAAGCGCGCAGAAGCAAACTGTTGAACGTCTGCATCGCAGGGTGGTAGGGGCACATTGAAGTCGAACCTGACTGGCTTCGTTGCCATCCTGTCTTACTGGGCATTGCTGGGTAAGTACCGGGTAAAAGTCTGAACATGTCCAAACTCCGAGATCCGTAGATACCAGCAGAGCTCCAGAGGGCCCCTTGGAGAGAGTATAGCTGCTTTCTTTGCAAGCTCAGGTTCAACCTCTTCCAGGACTTAGATTAATTTGGGCACAGCCTTGATGCGTGCAGGTACTACATGGCATGGGGATGCGAAACTCATTGTTCTTTCTTCTGCCTGTTTATCATCGCGACGTGGTCTATCATGGCTAGGAATTTGTTTTCATCATTCCCACGTTTTGCACGTGCATGATACTGAGTAGCTGCGTGTTGGCCGCTGTTTCTATTCTCGGCTCTTCTGGCGTTAGCAGGCACAGGTCCCATTCTGACATGCCGTCACGTAGCAGCCATTTGAAAGGCACTGTTTGTCTGGATTGCTGTTAAGGAACGTAATTGAAATTACCATAATGGGTATATATTATAGTAATGAATATCGCTTCCGGAATCACTTCAATAAAGTTCCTTAAAAGCCACCCAGTTGTATGGCTTGCTGGGACTTGTAGGCTAAATAAGAATTTGGCTCAACTAGTCGATGCGTGAGGAACCGGAGGAGTTTTCCATCGCCACCGGTGCGGGCCTTGCTGTGAAAA